CGCCGGAGCCCAGCAGGCTGAGGCTGCAGTGGCCGGGAACGGCCACTGCACTCCAGTCTGGGCAACAGAGTGAGACTCCAACTCAAAAAAAAGAACAAATAGTATCCACACCTCAATCTAGCTTTTCCAGTTATGCGACCTAGCTAAGATACTTAATCCTTGTAAGTCTCAGTGTCCTTAACTGTAAGGTGGGGTGAGATAGTGTTTGTAGAGCATTTTGCCCTGATAGTGCCTGATGTGGTATGGTCTCAGTAAACATTAATTATTGGTTTATCTTAATTTGTTTTCTATTTATCTACCACACATGCAGAAAACTTAGGAGGTGGGAATTTTGTTGATTTGTTTTGTTTTGTTTTTTTGTGGAACATGGCTGTCTGTTAAACATACATTAAATGCACAGGAACTACTTAACTAGACTTCTGACTTGAGACTGGTTCAGAAGAAAGCCAAGGAACTATACAAATCAGGCCACTTCTCTAAGCCTCTGTTATCTTAACTATAAAGTCAAAATGGTAATTCTTGGCCTTATCTACCTCATAAGTCTATCATAAAGATCATTTGAGATAATAGATATAAAAGTAATTTATTGGAGGCTGGGCGTGGTGTCTCAAGCCTGTAATCCCAGCACTTTGTAAAGCCAAGGAAAAAGGATTAGCTTAATTCAGGGGTTCGAGACTAGCCTGGGCAACTTGATGAGACCTTGTCTCCACAATAAATCAAAAAAATTAGCCAGACAAGGTAGCATGCACCTGTAGTTCCAGCTACTTGGAAGGCTGAGGCAGAAGGATCGCCTGAGTCCAGGAGGTCGAGGCTGTGGTACCCATAAGTGTGCCACTGCACCCCAGCCTGGGCAACAGAGTGAGACTCTGACAAAAAAAAAAAAAAGTAATTTATTGGAAAATTTCCAAAACCAAAAGTGTTTAAAATTTTTAAAATACTTTGTAAGTCGCAAACTGCTGTTCATATTTGAGAAGATAGTATCATTACTAATGTAATTCTTACCAGATAGTTTAATTTGTTCTACTTGCCCTCATGAATGGATTCAGAAGTTAAGAAGAATGGCAACTTGTACAACGTTAATTATAGTCCAGTAGAGCCTCTAGTTGCATGCGATCTGGATATAGCTTTTTCTTCCATAACCCTTCAAATTATAAGGTTTTTATTTTTCTTTTTCTGTCAGTCACTGTAAAGTTTATTGGGGTGAGAAGAAATCTCTTCCTTTAGTAATGTTACCAAGGTACCTTTTCCTTCCCAGACCAACCTGGCTGAGATGATTTCCTTTGTATTTGATAGGAGTGGGCTTTGCAAGCTCTGGTCTGTTCCTGATTGCAACCTCCTTCACACTCTTCGAGGTAAGTTAGAGTCTTGTCTTCATCACGGTCTTTTTCCTAGTGTAAACTATGTTAAGCTGCAACCTCTGCCTGACACGCAGAACCAGTACATACTACACTAATTCTTGGTTTGATTTGACTTTGTTTTCTTGCTGCAAGGCTAAAATATGATGACTTCATACACACCTACTTTTTTCTCATGTCCAGTTAATGCTCTTGCATTTTATAATCTCTAAACCAAAACATGGTTTTTGTGTTTTGCTTTCTTTTTTTTTGAGTTAGAGTCTCATTCTGTCGCTCAGACTGGAGTGCAGTGGCCGCTCCCGGCCACCGCAGTCTCAACCTGCTGGGCTCTGGCAATCCTTCCACCTCAGCCTTCCGAGTAACTGGAATTACAGATGCGCGTTACCACACCTGGCTAATTTTTTGATTTATTGTAGAGATGAGGTCTCGCCTGCCCAGGCCGGTCTCGAAACCGCGGGCTCAGGCAATCCACTCACCTCAGCCTCCCAAAGGTGCGGGATTACGGGCTGAGCCACCGAGCCCAGCTGTGTTTAAATTTAAATAGTTCATTTTTAATCATTGGTCACTTTAGCATTCTGTGTACTCACATGTTCCCTAATAGAGACTTATTATTCATCATTGTCTGTATTTGGACATAAGTTATAAGGAGGTGAAAACCCTTTACCTTTCATCTTTTGCACTCCTTTAGGTCATAACACAAATGTAGGAGCAATTGTATTCCATCCCAAATCCACTGTTTCCTTGGACCAGAAAGATGTCAACCTGGCCTCTTGTGCTGCTGATGGCTCTGTGAAGCTTTGGAGTCTTGACAGGTAAATAGTACTTTTCTGCAGCCCATACTGCCACCGCTAATGTAGATAGTTGATTGGTTGGCCCTCAGAACCTCAGGGTAAAAAATCTGGCAAGACCTCAAGATGCTCAAAGAGTTAAGGTAACTTAGGTTGAAAATTAAATGAGGGCATCTTTCAGCCAAGTAAGGGCTGCATCGACTAAAGGGCACCAGCTGTGGAGTCCATGGCCTTGGCCAGATTGAAATCACGGCAGATCTTGAAGCTGATGCCCAATTCCAGTTCACTAGTATTTTTAAAATATTGCAACTCATACACTCTCACAGGTAGAATGAATTATATACTGGCCACATACAGAGGCATTGATCTAAAAAAAAACTCCAGCTGTGATAGCAGCATAAATGGATACTAGACTGTACTTCAGCTGTTAAGTTCCCATGCCTGGAGAAGCTGATTCCCACTCATCATGTGATAATTCAATTTGTACAATAAATTATGAACCTGAGGGAAAAAAATTAAATGGAAAATTTCTGTCTTAGATCTTTTCGCACCATAGAGTTTGTGCCAGGTTTTTCTAACCTGTTAACTTTACACCTTGATTTTTGCCTTAGCCTAATGGCTGTTGTTTCCCAGTACCATTTATTCTAGAAAGAACCAACCTACCTCCTACATGATATATTAATGGTAAACTAAAGATAAAATTCTTGGCAGCCTATTGTTTCTTAGCAGACAGCCACAGGGGAGAAGAAAGTGAGGCTCTGTCTCGCAGTATGCCAAGGAAGTGATATCTCATCCTTTACTAGAATATGTTGTTCAACTACAACAGTTGTGTTTTTTTTTAATGTGTTCATGATTATTGTTTTCCAAAAAAAAAATGTAGAAGTGCCTTGTTGGCTAAAAGACATCTGAGCTGGGCTCAGTGGCTCACACCTGTAATCTCAGCACTTTGGGAGGTAGAGGCGAGAGGATTGCCTGAGCCAATGAGTTTGAGACCAGGCTGGACAACTAGCCAAGACCTCAACTCTACAATAAATCAAAAAATTAGCTGGATGTAGTGGCACATGCCTGTAGTCCCAGCTACAGTGGCCGTGAGTGTGCCACAAGCTTCAGCCTAGAATACAGAGTGAGACTCCAACTTTATGTATGTATGTATATTGGAGTCTCATTCTGTCACCCAGGCTGGAGTGCAGTGGCATACTGATGGCCACCGCAGCCTTGACCTGCAGGGCTCAGGTGATCCTTCTGCCTCAGCCTTCCAAGTTGCTGGAACTACAGGCACGCACCACCATGCCTGGCTAATTTTTTGATTCATTGTAGAGATGAGGTCTCACCAAGTTGCCTAGGCTGGTCTCGAACCCATGGGCTCAGGCAATCCTCTCACCTCAGCCTCCCAAAGTGCTGGGATTATAGGAGTCAACCACCATGCTCTGCTGAGACTCCAACTTAAAAAAAAAATCTGAATGTAATTGCTTAGTTTTCTTTCTTTGAGAAAGCATATGAAGGTTTGTATTCCAGAATTTTTTTTTTGTTTTGAGTTGGAGTCTCACTCTGTTGCCCAGGCTGGAGTGTAGTGTCATGCTCATGGTCACCACATCCTCTACTTGCTGGGCTCAGGTGATCCTTCCACCTCAGCCTTCCAAGTCGCTGGAACCACAGGCTCACATCACCACACCTGGCTAATTTTTTTTTTCTTTATTTTAGAGACAAGGTCTCACCAAGTTGCCTGGGCTGGTCTCGAACTTATGGACACAGGCATGAGCCACCACATATGGCTGAGACTAAGCCTTATATCTATTTAGGAGTTTCTTCTTCCATTTGAATCTTTGAACAGGCCTAAATGTGAAAAAAATTTCTCTGTAATTCACCTGTATCAAAACTGACTGATTACAGTATCCTCACATTTCTACCCAAGTGTGCTTTCTTTCTAGAATTCAAGTACTTCTTTGATGCAGAGTGACTGTTTTGCTCATCAAGCTAAAGTATTTTTTTACTTTTTTTTTTTTTCCAATCCTAAATGGTATGGCATTAAGAGTTTATGAACACAGTGAATGAAGTAAAAAAGCAGTGTTTATCCATAGGTATGCACTATGGACGCATGAAATAATCTCAGATCTTTTAAAACCTTGGTAAATAGCTTAAATAATTGTTAGCCCTAAAGTTTCAACAAATTTCAAGTGTAGTTAAAATTTAGCGTCTCTTGTTGAACAGAATAGGTATGTCTACACAACAGTTAGTAAATTCAATGAATATTTGCATGTCTGTAAAATTGTTTATTTGGATATGTTTGGATCCTTTTCAGCGATGAACCAGTGGCAGATATTGAAGGTCATACAGTCCGCGTGGCCCGGGTAATGTGGCATCCATCAGGACGTTTCCTGGGTACCACCTGGTAAGCAATCCTGTTGCTATTTTATCTATACAGGCTTTATCTGTTAACTCTTTATGATTCTCTGCCAGTAAATTTTTAAAACAGAACTCTTCAAGTAAGATTTTCTTGGGCTGCAATGAATTGGAATCAGAATGTTTAATATAGTTAGGGCTTAATCTGTTTGCCTTTAAGTTGTGATTAAGCTGGTATTTCAAAGTGGCTAATTGCCAGGAAACAGGAGTGTCATTTCATCTTTTTCTTGACCAGTACAAAGGTGTGTGTTTGTTTTTGCTACACATTGTATTATAATTACTCTGTCAACAAATCAGTCTCCCTTTCTGGTTCTGTAAGTTCAGTGAGGCCAGAATCTACTAATGGACATTTTCATTCATTATAATTTACATACAGTGGAATGGATTTAAGTGTACGATTCTATTTGTCTTTAAAAATTGATAACTCTGACTGGGCTCGGTGACTCAGCCTGTAATCCCACTGCTTTGGGAGGCCGAGGTGAGTGGATTGCCTGAGCCCGCGGGTTCGAGACCCAGTTGGGCAACTTGGCGAGAACTCATCTCTACAATAAATAAAAAATTAACCTGGCGTGGTAGCGCACACCTGTAGTTCCAGCCACTTGGAAGCCTGAGGCAGAAGGATCGTCGGAGCCCAGCAGGTCGAGGCTTCGGTGGCTGGGCCACTGCACTCCAGTCTGGGTGACAGAGTGAGACTCCAACTCCCCAAAAAAAATTGGATAACTCTGCCGGATGCAGTGGCTCACGCCTATAATTCCAGCACTTTGGGAGGCAGAGGTGAGAGGATTACCTGAGCCCATAGGTTCCAGACCAGCCTAGGCAACTTGACGAGGCCTCGTCTCTACAGTAAGTCAAAAAATTAGCTGGGTGTGGTGGCACACACCTGTGGTTCCAGCTGCATGGAAGCCTGAAGCAGAAGGATCACCTGAGTCTGTTGCATTTGAGTACTTTGTCATATGCTTTGCCCATTTTTTTGACAGAATTTGTTTCTTTTGTCTTTATTTCCATTTTCATAGTCATTTCTGCCATCATGTACTGAAGAGACTTTCCTTTCCTGAAATTGTTTTAGCATTCTAGTTGAAAGTCATTTGACCATTTATGTGTGGATTATTTCTGTACTTTCTATTCTGTTCCGTTAATCTATTTGTGATTGATTTTTGTATCCCCAACATCCACTTTAGGACCTAGTCAATTTATAAGTGCTTGATGAAATGGAACGCAGGAAGAAAGAAGACAACAGAGTCCTTGCTGGGTCATTCTTGGGGAATTCTGTTATAAAAATAGCCACTTAAGAAGGTTTACACCAAGTCTATGGTTTCCCCGTTATCACCTAAGACATATATATATGCTTAGTTGTTGAGTCATTGTTCATGTCAGAAAAGAATTTCTTATTAATATGATGATATGAATAGTTTCAGAAGTGTAACTTAAGCTACAATTATTTATAGTACCTTATACATTGTAGAAACAATATATACCTGATTGATTGTTAGTGTGATTTTTTTTTTTTAAGCTATGACCGTTCATGGCGCTTATGGGATTTGGAGGCTCAAGAGGAGATCCTGCATCAGGAAGGCCACAGCATGGGTGTGTATGACATTGCCTTCCATCAAGATGGCTCTTTGGCTGGCACTGGGTAAGGCTTCTTCTGTATAGCCAGAGACATCTCAGTAGTCTCACTTATGTGTGCCTGCTTCCGTAGAAAACTGCATTCAGAATGTTCACTTATAAATTATTTTCTCAGGGGACTGGATGCATTTGGTCGAGTTTGGGACCTACGCACGGGACGTTGTATCATGTTCCTGGAAGGCCATCTGAAGGAAATCTATGGAATACATTTTTCCCCCAATGGGTAAAATAAACTCACTGAATCAGAGGTGGAAGGGTTCTTGGTCAGAAGGAACTCTTCTGACTTCAGTCCTGCATCTGATCCACAGGTACCACATTGCAACTGGCAGTGGTGACAACACCTGCAAAGTGTGGGACCTTCGACAGCGGCGTTGCGTGTATACCATCCCTGCCCACCAGAACTTAGTAACTGGTGTCAAGTTTGAGCGTAAGCTTTCCTCCTATTTTAGGCCTAAATGACAGACAGGCAGTGATTTTGCTTCCATGGAATGCAGGCCAGGCTTCAGCTTAACTGAGACAGGGAACAGGAGAGAATTTGACCTCTGTTAAAGGAGCAGATTATCATTTCCTTCCCTTTTCTGTAACCCTAGTCAGAGCTGTGGCAAAGCATGCTTCTTGTTGCTAGGAAGAAAGACTTTTGTGAGTGTTTTGCTTTGTTCTTTCCTCCATGGACTTTCTTTTTTTTTTTTTGAGTTGGAGTCTCACTCTGTCGCCTATCACCCAGACTGGAGTACAGTGGCACACTCCCGCCCACCGCAAACTTGACCTCCTGGGCTTCAGTGATCCTCCCAAGTAGCCAGAACTACAGGCGTGTGCTACCACGCCTGGCCAATTTTTTATTTATTGTAGAGACGAGGTCTCACCAAGTTGCCCAGGCTGATCTCAAACCCAGGGATTCAGGCAATCTACTCACCTCAGCCTCCCAAAGTGCTGGGATTACAGGCTGAGCCACCGAGCCCGGCCCCTCCATGGACTTTCTAAGCATTGAATCCATAATGTTATTCTGAACAGATTGCCTAGTGGGGAAAGTGCCAAAAGACCTTAATGTTGTTTGTTCTTTTAAGTCTGCCTGTAGTTGTCCCTTTTTCTAAAGGCCTAGTAGGAATATAGAATCAGAGTGTTGGGTTTTTCTGAGTGTAGAAGTACTTTCTTTTCAAAATAGTATGTTTTTGCAGATTTTTATGCTTTCTGCTCTTTTGAATGCTTGAGTTCCTCAAGCAACTCCGTTTCTCTTCTCCTGTAGCTATTCATGGGAACTTCTTGCTCACTGGTGCCTATGATAACACAGCCAAGATCTGGACCCACCCAGGCTGGTCCCCACTGAAGACTTTGGCTGGCCATGAAGGCAAAGTGATGGGCCTAGACATTTCTTCTGATGGGCAGCTCATAGCCACTTGTTCATATGACCGGACCTTCAAGCTCTGGATGGCTGAATAGACAAGACAATGGAAAAAGGACTTGCAACTTCAAGCTCTCCCTTAGGAGCTATTTTCCTCAAAAGAAAAGAATTGAAGTGTTTAGTTCTATCATGTTTTTTGCCAATTGCCATGTATAGACCCTCAGTAGAACTGGATATTCATGTCAGCCCCCACTCCAGACAGGCAGCTCACTGACTAGTTGATGGTGAACCCCTTTCATGGTTGAAAATTTAACTCCCCTCTTGAGGCCCTGCCACAAACTGTGTAGACATTGTTTTTAATCTTTTGTTTGAATGCCTTTTAGCCTTCCATACGGTCCTCAGGGTTTTGACTGGCCCTTTCCATTTTTAATTCTTGAAACTTGGCTTTCCATAACATGGTATATGCTTCAGGACTACCTATGACCCAGAGAGCAAGGTGACTGGACTATAGTTTGGAAGCCCTCAAGTTAAAGAGGCACATCTTTACCATTTATTGGTTAAATGGTGCCTGACAGCAAGGACTTTTCCTCTCCCTCTAGAATGGGAGATGAAGCAAAAGACTGCAGCTATGCTGTTGGTTATGCAATGAAGATTTTACCTCTTCCTTTTGAGTTCACTTGGAATGCTAACTGCATCAGGAACCTCAGAACTGAGCATTTCTCTTTTCAGAAAATGTCTTCGATTTGCTCTGAAGTATGGCATTCTTCATATTACCCTAAGCAAGACCATGTGTCAGGATTCAAAGAATTTTTTAGAAAGCAAACATGATGTTTCCATTTTGTACAACTCTATTTCAGTTGGTTATTTAAAGGATGTGCTTCATGTATTAAAGGGTACTTCATATCAAAGTAACTAGAAAAAATCCCAAATGGATATTTTCTGAACATAAACTTTTTATTTCTGTTTTCCCCAACTAAAGTTAAGGGTTTTATCTTTTTATCTTTATTATATACTTGCTAAGAGTAAAGTCCTACTATGAAAACTATCCTTTAAAGAATTATTTTCTGAATCCCAGCCATTGGTCCATAGAGGTCCCTTGTTTTGATTTGATAACAGATGATTTCAAATACACATCACTCCAATTTCTGTCTCCTTAGTAAGCACTCTGTTAACAATTTTTTTTTCTTTGAGTTGGAGTCTCACTCTGTCGCCCAGACTGGAGTGCAGTGGCCGCTCCTTGGCCACCGCAGCCTCGACCTACTGAGCTCCAGCGATCCTTCCGTCTCAGCCTTCCGAGTAGCTGGAACTACAGGCGCGTGCTACC